TTTACTCAAACAAACAGTCATTACTAAGTAATTTACTCTCTAGGATGAGTCGATAGTGCCGTAAAACACCTACTCAATCAATCGATCAACTCTCTAGGACTACCTCTTGTCTTCGGCATTTTTATGACGTAATTGTATCGCAAGTGTCATAAAACTCTCTCGAAAATGACTTAATATTTTGGTGAAGCCCCTTATACCTGACGAGGTCTGCGGGTGAGACCACCACCACACTGACGAGACACCGTGGCACCTCCTTCTTGAGCGTGTCCAGCGCCGCGCGCAGTCGGCGTTCGTATGTCGCCGGGGACGCATCGACGCCCGGCCAGCAGGAGCGACACAGGTCGTTGCCGCCGAGGAAGATGGTGATCAGTTTCCAGTCACGCGCGAAATCTACGCGCGGGTCCTCTCGTAGGCGGGTTATGAGGTCTTCTACCTGTGGTGAGGGGAGGTGGAGTATTATTATTTAGTAGATGCTTGGAGGGCGACACTGGTAGGTCCTACCTCTTTACTTTCTCCTTATTGTTTCTGTCTGCCTGCTTTACTTTTTCTTACCTCTAAATGAATGACCATTAGTGTCGGTGTGCTTCTCTTTACTCAAACAAACAATATTGTTTATTCCTCGGGTTTTACCTCTTTTCAAATCAAAATCGAACTGATGCATGCGGTTGGAAGACGTCACTGGAAGATCTTGCCTCTTTTCGTTCCTTCTGTCTGCTTCTTTTTACCTGTCGTACTCGTTCCCTGCGCTAAATGGCCTTCATTTGGTTCATGCACCTCTCTTTACTCAGACTCAAACAACGCCCCACACCCATTTTGTGAGGTGCTGGGAGGCAGTAAAAAGAGATGAGATAAAGAAGTTGGGTAGAAAAAGGATGTGGGGATGACTTAACAGTTCTCTCTCATACCTGTTTCTGTATGTCGGCCATGGTAGCCCCTCCGTTCGCCACGTTGAGGTGGGTGTGTTCGTGGGCGTGTTCCGTGTCGTCCACGCCCTCTTTTTTGTCCTCGGGGGTCAGAGAGTAGCCGTAGAGGTCAGGGTTGAACAGGCGCAGTGTGTTGGGCAGTGTTGGGTTGGTCGCGAAGTCTTCATCCCCTGTCACAGTGAAGCGAGAGAGTTATGAGGAGGCGAGGTTAGACGCTTGTTTTTGTTGCTGTTTCAACTTCTTTTTTCTGCCTTGTCCTGATCTTTCCCTTTTTCTCTCTCTTTCTCTATCTGTTTCCCGCTCTCTTCCACCGTCCTCTCTCCCCCCCTCCCCCCCATCCTTTGTCTTTCTCCCT